ATCAGGGTAATCCTATATACCTTGTTTTGCAGATTCAGATATTTTCTCAAATTTCTGACAGCAAAGCTGCTGACTGGTTTCCGCTGATAACACATCCTTGTTTTTAGCCCTGGCTTTATCTAGTGCTTTATTAGCATTTTCATAATCTACCAAAGAGCGAGATCTTCTATAGAGGAGATCCTGCAAACAGAAAGTTCAGACTTAGAAGATAGTTCATAACTTCAATGTGATGACATTCACATGGAGCAGATTCTGGGCTGCTGCGCCACACAGTTACCTTAGCAGCTTGTGATTCTCTTAAATAATATTTAAGAAGGTCTGAAAGCTTCAGGTCTTCATCAGCTGATACCCGGGCTTCGATTTTCTACAGAACACAGGGAACATTTTATTACCACAATAAAGTACGTTATAAACAATATTTCCAGTCATGGTTCTGACATCCTCAGCCCAACACTTCCATGTACTGTTAGTTGAAACCCAGCACTTTCTTCTAGATCCGAGGTTAGGAATCGAAAGATCTGACGTTCCTACCTACTACACCACTTTCTCAAATCCCGGTTGACACCTGTTAACTTTAAATCACAAGCTCACAGGCTTTGAGACTTGATGTATGGATACAGGTCTTGTCTGCCACACTCTATTTCTTACTTACTCAGAGGAGCCATCTAAGTAGCACTTTCATATCTGGTGCAAGGTGAATCTGGGAGTTACAACCTCTCACGTGCTTTAGAATGTCTTCTATAAGACTTCTGCAATGACTATAAGAAAGCAAGATCCAATCTAATCACATGTGAAGAGTGACAGGGTAGTGCTCCCCTCCACAGAATGAAAAATAATACTCTCCTGCTTCAAAATCAGGCCATTTTAGTGACAAATCCAGTATCATTACACTACACCAACAATTGCATTAGTTTTAGTTTGCTGAGACCCAGACATCGGTGGCTTTTCGGTGGCTTTTAACTTGTGGCCTTGGTGAAAAAAGTTCAGGGTTGCTGAATAGATCTTAATTTGCTAAAGAGATATGCACAGTCCTTGATAACACTACTACATAATATGTTGCCTCATGTAAGAGACACCTTACGCTAGGTTTTCCTTCCTATTTCAGGCCTCGTTTTTATGTCTTTTCTGTTTCCTCATTCTCAAACCCTTCACCCTGCACAGAAAATTATATAAACCATCCAAGCCCATGCAGAAGTGAGCTTAAAGTAAACCAGTTAGGACTGTTACCTATTGCAGCTGAAGTTCCCATCCAGTGCTGCCACTGCCCAAAAGGTGCAACTTTCGGGGTAGGCCTATCATTGTAGGTTATGGTAGACAGATGTGTTTTGCCTTAGGAAAGGCATCATTACTGAGGGGGAAGAGCAATGACAGACATCAGTGTAAGATCGGAGTGAGATGCAACAGTCCTCCTTGACTGGTTCACTTAAAGCAACTGTCACTATACAAATAATGTTCAAGCAAGCCATACCTGTAAAAGAAGGCCATACATACTCACCTTCTCTGGTTGCCCATGCTGGTGATGTCCTTTCTAATGCTGAGAAATCTTCCTCTGAAGTCCACACTGAAACCAACACTCCTGGAAGTGTCAATAAGTGTGGGTAAATTTTCCATTACAGGTTTTCGAAAATGATGGATATCTAGGACCAAAACCTGCCCTCACTCATGCCACAAGCCATTACCCTTAAATGGAGGAACTGCTCTGAGGAAGCATCTTTAAACCTTCACATTCTCAAATAATTCATCCTCACACAGCTACCTCCTCATGTATCATGTCCCCCTCTTTCAGATTGTAAGCCCTCAGGGGCAGGGCCCTCCTTACCATCTTGTCTTGAATTGTAATGTCTTCCTTATATTGTAAAGCGCTGCGCAAACTGTTGGCGCTATATAAATACTATGTAATAATAATAATAATAATAATAATAATAATAATAATAATAATAATAATAATAATAAACAGGAGGCCCAGAAAATAATAGACATTTAGAAAAAAGGTTACTTCCATCGTTCCACCTCACATAGCTTGGTGTCAGAAATTTAAATCAGGGCAAAAATACAAGAATTAGATCAGAGGGTTCACCTTATTAAGCAATATGGCACACACTGAAAAAGACAACCACATTTTTTAGGGAGGCATTGGCATTTCTTGACCACTGATCCAAAGGTTGCAGAAGCAGTTGGTTCAAGACCCCTTATGATAAAACGATGTGCGAAAAATCTTGTAGTGTCCCCATATCAGTTGTTGATAGTTTAATTCATCATGTGTGTGGCTCCACATACATAGCCACGTCATACAATAATGGGGATCTGTGAATGGGAATACTACAAGTTCCATCTGCCACCAGCAAATTGGAGGAATATAGCGGAACAAAAACAGAATTGTTCCCCTGACAGTGCTGTGTAAATGAATAACTGTCATCACCGCTGATGGCAGCTATTTATTCAGTAAGACACATATCCCCTTCCCCCTGCTGCCGCCACTGCTCCCGCTCTCTCCTCCCCACTGGGCACAGGCATTGTGATCGGAGGGGACACAGATCCACCTGCCGGCACCCAGCAGGGAGAAGAGAGCAGTAACATGGGCCACTTAGGATGCCGAATGGGGCAGTGCAGGGAGGAGAGCTATGGTAACAGGCGGGAGGGGGTGGAGCTTCAGGAAGCAGAGAGGATCGGCAAATGTATAACATTTTTGCTGATCCTTCCCTGTACTGAACAAACACTGGTGTGATCAGTTCTGATCACTCCAATGTTTGTAAGCAACTGAGGAGATGGTAAGCGTTTACTATGTCCCCAGTTATGAAAGAACAGGCAGTGCTATACATAACCTCCTGTCACTTCATAAACTGAGGAGATGAGAAGATAGTAACTATTTCCTAGTTTATGAATGGAGAAGAGGTGCTCTTCACGGATCACTTCCTGTCCATTCATAACTGGGGAAGATTGTAAACATCTACTATGTTCTAAGTTTGTGAATGAACAGGAAGCCTCTGTACTGAATGCTTCTTGTTCATCCAGTGCTGGGGCTGCAGAAAAAGAGATTGAGGACTATGTCTCTAAAGAGTCTCTTTCTGTATTTCAAAAGGGAAATATTGGGGGTCTGTTTAGACCCGTGATATTTCCCCAAAGCCCCCTGAAGGTAAATTTAAAAAAAATAAACTCCCCCACCCACGCAACTGTTTGCACCATATTGTGGTATACGTTACGCACTGCAGTGCGTTGTTATAGCACACTGCAGTGCTTGATTTTTTTTAACTTTTCTAAAACATAAATTCAACTGTGTGGCAATGTACGGCAAAGCGTTGACACATTGCCATGCTTTGCGATACACTGTGTTGCGATTAAATGTATGTCTGCATCATTTTATCGCACCACACAACACAGCGCACAAACCACACTGCAGATCAGGTGTTACCACAACACAGATTTTTAGCATAAGTTGCTTAAGTACAGTTTTACATTACACATTTAGTGTATCACAAAAAGATGAAATTGAAAAATGTGCAAATATTTGTTTATTAACTCAACATAATTTTCTCTTTTATATTTAGTCGGACTCTTGTAAAAAGTTGGATTATTTGTGTGGGCCGATAATGAAAATACTGATTTGATAAACAGTCGCAGGACCTACAAAAACAGTACCAGCATATTATTATACCGGTCCTGTGCTTTCAGAAGGTGTAAGGTGGGCGGGGGGGCCAGGGTATTGGGGGAGAGGTTACAATCTCTAAAAGCCGCAGTTTTCTGAAGTTAAAATTTCAGAAAAAAGATGAAAAATTGCAAAAATGGTCTGACAGCTGAGGTCAAAAGTGGAATTCAGGGCCTGGCAGTGAAGGTGTTAAAAAAACAGGTGGAGGTCATAGGGATGAACCAGTGAGAGCTGCAGGTAAATAAACCAGACCTTTCAGTCCTGGAAGTCAGTTTCAGTGCGTACTTTCGAGGAAGATTTTGCAGCATCAGAGGTAAGTTTCGTGGTGCACGCCTCAGGCAAGGCCAGCATGTACGTTATTCTTTTACAAGTATGGATTTCTTGAATACTTTCTGTATAGCAATAGGGTTGCCTTAAAAATGGTCACCCACCCAAAATATGTTTCCGTTTTTGAAAGAAGTTGGGAAGTTAAACCTTTTTACAACAAGATGCAAAGCACACTGGGAATCCAGGAAGTTGTTGAAAGTGATTATTAAAACAACTTTAGTGTGTATTCCTATTACAATCATGATAATAGAACAGTATGCTATATGCTAGGACTTTTCAAATGTCTTTAATTTCAACAACAAACCTACCATAAGATTATATGTGCAATTAACATTTTATGCATGTTATTTGCCTATAAAAGCCTCCCATGTGTAGACAATGGATGTGAGGTCAGCAGTCCAGGCAGTTAGAACTGACTCTCTATAGTATTCCTCTTTGCGTCTCCCCTGGCACCTACAAAAAAAGGGTTATGTAGGGGGGTGAGGGGCAGAGCAATTGGGGTAGCACAGACAGAAATAAGACACTCCCAGAACAGGAGCGTGATATAATGTGCAAGTATGGAGGGGCTGTGCTAGGAAATGGATTCTTCCTGAAGTAGTCACATTTGCTAGCTAGTTAAGAGGCACATTACAAAAAAAAAAAAATAATGGAAATAAAAAACCACTTCCAAGTAAGCATTTCAAATACTTGATTTTCTGTGCTTTTAACTATAATTTATTACATTGATGACACATTCTCTACCTATCCAGCAAAAACAGGATGTAGGAGCTCTTGAAAGAAATACAGCATAGTAGCATATTTGTGTACAATGCATTCAGTTACTGCTGTGCAAACTACCCAAAAGTAAGAACGAGTAATACTTACACGAGTTTTGTCAAACAATTCAGACACTCTTAGGAAAAACCTATGCATGAAAAAAAGGAAAAAAAAATGACTTTGCAGTACATAGCCAGCTGATGTTTTTCTAACAGTTGATAGCAACTTTGCAGATTATTATAGTTGAAAACCCAAGAAAAGGATATTCTCACAATGCTGCATGTGAATTATGTTAAAGTGGAGCTCCAGACCAGTCACTAAATAAACAGCTAAAATAAACATTTACTGATTAAATGATTTGTAATACTGTGCAGCCAATCCGGTCACCTAAATAAGATTATGACATTTGACAATAGAGTAATAAGGAGGTGGCACTCACTGCTCTGCCACACAGCACATTCCTGCCTGGCAGGGGAAGGGACCATCTTCTTTCACTGCTGCATTTAAGTTATACTTACAGGTCATGTCACACACCTAGCCTGTGACTGGACAGTGAAATGAGATGTGGCATATTGTGCCAATTTCCCCTCCTTCAGTTTGAGCTTTGCTGTACAGTAGTCTGCAAGAGCCTGATAAGTTAAATGTTTTTTTTGGTAAAATTAGGTACCTCGGCTTATATTCGGGACGGCTTATACTCGAGTATATACGGTACTTACACTGAACACATAAAAAATACATTTCAGGATGTATTAATACAGAACTGCATTTGTTTGTGCCCTTGATATCTGCCTGGAGTTCAGCTTTGACTTTCACTTGCAGTAAGTTAATGCCCTGTGCGCAGCCAGGGCCTAGTATCCAAATGGGCTCTAAAGGGACACTGGACTGGATTTAAATTCTGACCCAAGTATTTGAAAGCTTTTTGTTTAGATGAGGTCAGGTTCACCGAGTGCTACTTATTGCAAAATCACAGTTAATTATTTAATCCTCCAAGGGCCAAAAATGGCAGTTTATGTTGATGGTATACACACAAGTCCAAAGCTATGCTCTTAAGACAATTTTTTCCCCAAATGTATTAAATTAGCCGTTAATAAATTTAGTATACATGCCAACATTCATAAAGACATCAGCAACGGCCAGGGGTTTTCCTTGTCTGACCACCTATTACGATGCATGATCCCAACATTTCCAATTTGTTTTGCTATAAGCAATCCTTACATATCAGGATCAAGTTATTCACAAATGAATGCTCCAAGCAATATGCTCCAAGTTACTCTAGAACTAAGGTCTCCCTTGAAAAATAAAATTTGCTGTAGCACTTAATTGCAAATGCATTAGCACTTACCAATTTGCCTTAGTCTCCCTTCACAGTCTAACAAATACCTGTTGATGCTGTCAGTAAAGTCCACCACGTGCAGCTTTCTGTGTTGGGGTGGCAATGATGTTAAACTGCTACTGAATTCAAATGAACATCGTCCCATATGTAGGCTGTGGCCGTTCCAGTACAGTGGGATGAAAAATGTTGCAAGGGGCATGGCTATCAGCATTGACAAGCTACAGACCTATGAATCAGCAGTGTCAGTCAGCAACTGGCCACATCTGGCTCTACCTAAAGCTTACTGGATTGGCAGAACCAGCTGTGCTACTAAAACCCTCCCACTTTGGAGCTGCAGTGTCTGGGAGGTAAGTGTGTCAGATACAAATGGAGAATTTGGCTTGGTCAAGGGAGGTCAAATTAAATTTTTATACTCTCCACAAAATCCTTTTCTTGGAGTTTATTGAGGGACAAAGGAAGCCTTCAGTTATATTACTGCCTACAGAGGAACTGGACAAGGTCAAACAAAACAAAAACTGTAGGCCAGCCCAGGATATCCTCTCCTACTACCAGCATTCCTTAGATTTGTAGCAAAGCCGTACCAAGAGCATGGTGTAGGGACCACTTTCCCTGTTATAGGTATTAGCAGCTGAGAAAATCTGCCAGCCAACTGTCTACATCTGTAAAACATACAGCTGACACGGCTGGAACATGAAGTTCTGCCTAGGACAAGATCCAATCTACCTCTCTAGCCACGACAGGACTTGTGGTTTCTTCCCCACAATTCATTTATGCCATCGATGTGGGGTTGTGGAATAAAATCCATATCGGATGCCCATCTTGTAGGATGCTCCATAGTGGGAGAGACAGCCTAATCACCTGAAGTTCCAGGATGTTGATTGGGAGGCGAGACTGATGACCAAGTCCCCTGCACCAACAGGGTGCTTTGGACTCCTCCTCAGCCCAACAGACTGGCATCCATTGTACATGAGGATCCTCCAAAAGAAGGGTTTACCCCAAATTCCAGAACTGGGACCACCAAACCTGGGAACATCAGGTCCTCAACAACAAATGAATCAGTCTGTCTAGAGACCAGATTGACTTGTTCGATGATGACAAAATGATGGCTGCATCTGGAATGAAACTGTCTCAAGGAGGCTACCATCAGGCCTAGGGTTTATGCAAAACTGGGGAGTCTGAGAACTCCTAGACTGGAGAGTTCAAATCTGAGACAGGAGGACTCTGAAGTTTCTCTTGTTGTGTCCAGAACTAGACCCAGACACTCCAAATAAGTCAGTTCCAGCGACAATGTCTGAAGGTTCAGGAACCATGGGGGATGCTGTATGAGCGTAGCAGGGATAATACTGGGGCCAGCACGTTGGTAAATATCCGAGTTGCAGAAGAGAAGCCGAAGGGCAGGGCCACAACCTGGTAGTGCATGGTCCTTAGATTTGGTGGCTCCTATTTCAAGACCCAAATGAAGATATTGAGAGCTTTAAGATCGAAGATGATGCAGATGCCCACTTTGTGTTTGGTAATGGGTTGGATTAAAGCCCTTAAAACCATTCTGCCACAGGAACTGGAGCAATGGCACCTTGGGCCAAAGGACCTGAGAAGTTTGATGAAGATCTGCTAATCCGTGTGATGACACAGGAAGGTTTGGAGGTGAGAAACCGAGAATGGGGCACGGTGTGAAACTCCAGTTTGCAACCCTAGAATTAGAGCTGCAGCTATCGATTATTTTCAAAATCGATTAGTTAGCCGATTATTGAGTTCGATTAAATCGGATAAAAAAATAAAATACATTTTAAAAAATGGCTCCAGTGATGGGACTACTAGTTTGTATTGGGATTGTAGTCCATCACAGGAGCAAGCTTGGAGCGGTAGAAGTAAATGAGAAAAAAAAAAAAGTGTTGTGTGCAATATAGTGAAATGAAAAGTGTAAAATTATACAGCAATGAATGCAGAATGGCACCGGCTATAGAGGACTACAAATCCCAGCAATAGTACATTATACAGCACAATACAGAATACCACCCGCTACAAAGTACAACAAATCCCAGCAATAATATATTATACAGCGAAATGCAGAATACCACCAGCTATATAGGAATACAACAAAATGCCAGCAATACATTGTAGCTGGCGGTATTCTGCATTGCGCTGTATAATGTACTATTGCTGGGTTTTCTAGTCCTCTGTAGCTAGTGGTATTCGGCATTGCACTGTATAATGTACTATTGCTGGAATTTGTAGTCTTCTATACCAGGGCTCAAAATTTCCACTCACCCCCTCGCAATTTGCGAGTGAAAATTGCGAGGGGGCGAGTGGAAATTAAGCCATTGAGTCAGACACTCAGTCATGGACCGAGTGCCTGATGACTTGCTCCTATGCTTCTGCCCACAGCCGTGCATCTTCCCATATTAAAGATGGCTGCATGACGGCAGTCATCTTTACTAAGGTCCGTTCTTGTATCCTAGCTCTTGTATACCCCGTAGGGGTACGTAGGGGGTATTGGGTTAGGTTTTATTGATGCGGTTCAGTGTCTGTGTGTGTGTGGGTGGCCGGGCACTGCCTCTTTAGGGGACCCTGGTCTGTCATGTGCTGCAGCAGTGCTGAGAACAGGAAGCAGTGATAGAGCTGGTGAGAGATGCTGCTCGTCCACACTCTGTACCGATCTGGGCACTCGAGGGCCTCTGCTAGGGGAGGCAGAAAGGGGCTAGCTATATTAGGATGAAGGTGGAATGATAGAACACTAAATTCATGGGCGTCACAATACAGGGGAAGCCCTGGGGTGAACTGGCAGACCACAGGAGGGGCTCCAACAGCTTACTGTGCCACAGGTCCCCTTCATGCAGCCTGAGCTGCAATAGCTATGCATGGGACCAGAGTTAGTCCCAAGTGTCAGGCCCCTGCCAGCAGGTAATTGAAGGGGACATAGAGATGGGTTGGGGTGCCATGTGTGTGTTGTGGGTGAATGTGCATGCGTAATGTCCTGTGCATTGTGCTGTGGCTGCATGTGTAATGTCCTGTGTTCTTTTTGCTGTGGCTGTATGCGTAATGTCCTGTGCGTTGTGCTGTGGCTGCATGTGCAATGTCCTGTGTTTTGTGCTGTGGCTGTATGCGTAATGTCCTGTGCGTTGTGCTGTGGCTGCATGTGTAATGTCCTGTGTTCTTTGTGCTGTATGCGTAATGTCCTGTGCGGTGAGCATGAGGCGGGGAGGAGGTGCGGCATGTGGATGCGGGCGGGTCTGGCAGCAGCGAGCGTGAGGTGAGGAGGAGACAAGGTGCGCAACGTTTATGGAGCCATGAACAGGGCCAACTAACCAGAAGCCGATGAAATCGATGATTGAAAAAGTTGTCAACTTTTTCAATAATCGATTATGTCGATTAGTTGTCACAGCCCTACCTAGAATACTACCTATACCCACCTCTCCTCCTCCTAAACCGGTGAAAACTGAAAGCTTTTAAAGCATCACCTATGGACAATTATGGGTACCATCGTTTTTCACCATTTCACTGGAGCACACAATTGTAAAGCTTGACATGATTGGCATCTCTTAACTCAGTGCAACTTAATGTTTTATATTTTACAACAAATTGGGTATTATACTGTGTTTATGTGCACAGAAATGAATTTAAAAAGGTACAGTAATACCTTGGTTTACAAGTAACTTGGTTTGAGAGCGTTTTGCAAGACAAGCAAACATTTCTGAAAAATTTTGCTTTGATATACAAGCAAATGTCTTGCAAAAAGAGCAAAATTTTGTAGAAAAGCACCACCCGAATAAGGCTGTAGCAGTGCGAGCGATGAGTCTGTTTAACGACAACGCAATGTCACATTGGATAGATTCCTTGTTAAGGTTTCACGAAATGAAAAAGATTCCATTGAGTCAAGAGATAGCAGTGATTCCGTTAGTGATAGTGAAAGTCGTCCTACGCAATAATCCTCCTCCCTCTTGTCCCTCTCACACCGGCCACAAAAGGTACCGGTAATTGGTTTATTTTTCTTTATATTTTATACGTTATTATATTACAGTACAGTATTGTAATCATTTTATATGAATATTTTTGGGATGTGGAACGAATCATCTGAATTTCCATTATTTCCTATGGGGAAATTCGCTTTGATATACAAGCGCTTTGGATTACAAGCATGCTTCCGGAACGAATTATGCTCGTAAACCAAGGTATTACTGTACTTTAGTGAAAATTTGAGCTTTATAAACAGTTGTGCCAATATTGGAGTAACCAAAAAAATTGTAACCACAATTTTATTTTCCAGGGTCGCTTCTTTTCAAAAAATCTATAATTCTGGGGGAGGGGGGTGCATTTAACCTCTGTGCAAAAAAAAATTGAAATGGGAGAAAAGGTTAATTAAGCTTTTCAGTTTGAATGTATTCATATACATGTGTTAGTGGGAGGAGTTACTGTTAATGATATCTTCTGTTTTCATAAAAATTAGCCCTGTTTTGTAACTTCACAATTCCTCCAGTTTTCCAGACATCCACACTAATATCAATAGGCTTCTGAAGCCTTAACCCATGTGCCTGGAGGCCATCTGGTGGCCTGTGACCTGTTCCCTAAGAAACAGATGCCATGGACCAGGGGGTCCTGGTAAATATACTTCTATCTATTCTATATGTTTTAGAACTCTATAAACTTTAAATATTGTCTTTACATGTTCTGCATGTGTATGCCTTACTATTACCCCGAAAATAAGGCACTGTCTTATCTTTTTTGGGGCACAAAAAAAACCCCACTAGGTCCTATTTTCGGGGTAGGTCTTATTTTTTTTTTTTTATGCACAACAATCCACACGTATTCATGTACAAAAATATGGTGATCAGGGCAATCAGGGGTGGCGTACCTTTCCAAGAGCAATTTGCTAACCAATCGCTGGCCAGAATGAGCGAAGCGCACTTTCACTATGGATTCCTCACAGGCGGAGTGCATTTGGAGCAGGCGGTATAGGCAGCTCTTCAAGTTCCCTCTTATGCTACCACCAGCCCTGGGAATGGTCATAACTAGGTCTTATTTTCGGGGTAGGTCTTATATTTTAGCACTTTCCAAAATAGTGCCAGGTCCTATTTTTGGGGTAGGTCTTATTTTCGGGGAAACAGGGTACTAGGCTTCCAGCAGGCATAATGCAGTGAGAAAATGATATTCTGGTAGGTTTAATGACATTTGACTTAACCAGCCCCAATCTGTTGTGGGGAGCAACCCATACAAAAGTGGGTAGAACATACAAACTCCCATCAGTGTCCCAAAATTAGATTCAACTGCTCAACAAGGCAGGCATGCTATTTTGCTGCCTACAAATACAATATGAAATGTTGTTTCTAAGATGAAAGAGCTGCATAGGTCATACAGAGTGGCTTAGGATTTCCACTTAGTTATCTAGTTTTCCTAAAGTAACAAATGTAAACCAAGTACACAAACATCTTACTTGCATATGTCAGTATTGTCCTGTGTTCCCAATTGGTACATTGAAGATCCTATTCGGTTATAGTCATCTGCAACACCTATAACAAAGAGGAGATATAAAAGCATCAGAGATGTATCAGATCAGCTGGGGTGCCCATGTGCAGATCTGAATGCATTTGACTGATCTGCTGACATCAGAACCTTCTCTGCAATTAACAAGAGCTAGCTGTGTACTCTATATGGAAAAGTTATCCTCAGAGAAGTCCAAGATGGTGGCAATTCAGCCTAAGAGCACAACTAACTTTTAGCAGCTTCCTTCTTTCTAAATACAAAGCTCTTACTACAGCTGTGCAGTCAGAATATATAGAAAACATTATACACTTGGGGGTGTACATATAAAAAAATCCCAAAGCATACAGATCGGCGAACATATAAATTTTAAATTTGCACCAAATTATGGCCACCAGATGTAGTCGAGGAGCATAGCAATTTCCTTTCCCCCTTGGCTCCATCTAGTGGCCATTATGCCAACTACATTTTTAGATAAAACCTATTTTCATTACATATGTAATGATGTGGTTAAGTGACTATGATAAAATGCCTATTTCAATATATTGTAATATATATATATGTTATTGCTCCTGTTCATATTAATCCTTACTAAAAATGGCTGCCTAGTTAGTTGCTCAACTTAGCACCCCTCCTATGAGAAGTACGCACTAGAAATAGAAACCAAGAATGCGCCTCCAGGAGAAACTGCACCCAAGACGAGGATGTCAGCACCCTGGAAGGAGGTTACGCTTTAATGAATCAGTCCAATTATAACCTAGAAAGCTATCGCAAATGCTATGTTTACATATACACTATCAGCTGCCTATATAAGACACAACAATGCGGAACAGTAAAGAGAAGTATCTTTTCCTTGTTTGAGACCCAGTAAGGTCATCACATAGTCTTTGTGATTTTCTATGCAATGTAGGCAGATCATGGCTGATAGGAAGGGCTGGCAGGGTGCAACATCACAGCACCTTGCCTCAGGACTCCTCTCAAGATTCCGCGGCTCTGATGTAAGGAGTGGGCTGGATTTTGGGAGGAGTTATGCAAATATCAAAAGCCTTGATATGTGGATGTTAGCCTGGAGGAGTGAGAGTTCCCAGGCATACTGCCCTAGGTAACGCCCACGTGTGAGGCTGGGCCTCCATGACTGGAAGAACTGAAATCTAAAAGAATGAAAAGGGGTGGGCCAGGGACAGTCAGGGTGGGATGTAAAAAGCTAGATTATGCTGGATGTCCTCCAGCCAAGAAATGAGGTGGGCTCACAGTGAGCATTGAAATTAGAGAAATACATTTCAGCAAAGGACAAGAATAAGTACAAGTGTGCAAGACTGACAGTAAGGCTGGAGTCCACCTTCGAAGCCATTAAGTGCGTGTACCAGTCATAGTGTTTTTTTCACACAGTGATCCATTTTAATTTGGGATTCTGGTCCTAATAATTATACGTAAGCCATGCATGAGCCCAATATATCACAACACAATGTGGACACATCAGGTGCCAATAAAGAGGTATTCGCCTAGCATTGTGCAAAGTTATGGGAGCTGACAAATGGATAAATGACAGGTTTTGCAATGCTGACAGCCTTAAACACTGCTAAACCTTCATTAGTACAAAACTTTGTCCTCAGGCTGGAAAAACTGGAAAGTTTGCCTCAGGGTGGCCATTATTCTCTAAAAGTCAACCCTGGGGAAGACCTCACCCTCCTGTCTTCAGCTTCACAGCCCACCACTATAACAGAATCCAGAAGCACTTGCAGCAATGGACTCGTACACTGCAATGGTAACTTTGTAGCAGCCAGGTAGCCCATGGTGGTTTGATAATCGCCTTTCAACATGTAGTTTCATTTCTTATCTACAACAAAAGGGGTAAATAACACCTGGCATGCCGGATACAAGATTTTCCATGGTCACAACAGGGCGGCTTACATTTATGGGATCTTGTCATTTTGTCAGACTTGGCACTTGCATCTTTCACTCGATTGTGATATTCCACAAGAAATGTCCTCTCATGGTCAAAGAAATCGTCCACATCCTGGGCAGAGAAAAAGTTTACTAGAATCCACAAGCATTTGCCAGCAGCATTGATAGGACAATACAAACATCAAGGAAACTTAAACATAACCAAAAGTTTAATATAAATTACAGCATTAGGGAGTTCAAAGTGAACTTCTCTCTCAAAACCTGAGACCCCCAGTACATCATATTAAATGATGTCCCATGTGAAATGTTACATCATTTCACATGGGACAACCAGATGGAATACTGGATCCATTTCCAACTAGCAAAATACTATATCTAGTCATTTGCGGCTAAAAATTTGGCTAATACTTTTTGAATCAGTCGAAATTAGAGCCATATGTGGCCATGTAAGCAACAGGGATGATTTAAAAGTCAACTGAGCTTGGGACCCAATACCCGTTCAACAAAAGTCAATTTTTCAATCAACTTTTGTGGAAGAAGCCGGTCCGAAAAATCTTGGTTGAATAGTGACTTCAGCCAATCAGCTGCAGTACATTTTTAGGTATTCTGAATATTTAGGAATACTATAGATTGGCGGGGATTCCCCCATCCCAGATATTAGCATGGATGGGAACATTGAGAGCATTTTCTAGTTGGCCACGGGGTTAAACAGAATAGAACGGTGGGCAGCTTTAGCGTGGATGGGAGATTCTATGGATTTCCTCTCAATTAGACCTCAGGTTGATAAGAGAATCTAGTTGTGTACAACAAGTATCAGCGTCCACCTAGCAAAATTCTAGAATTCAAGATTTAGCCAACACTCTGCTTGTTTGTTCCTATTTAAAGGGGTAAAAAGTACAGATGATATGACAGAGGAGGACATTTTAATCTCACCTTCCGGTCTAAAAATTTAGTAGGCAGTGAAAATCTATCAAAGTACAAGTGATATGGAAATTGAACCCTGTAGGTTGTATACACACATTTTCCTTCTTACCTTTGTGCCTGACACAATTACTCCATCAGCTGTTTTTACCACACTTTTGAAGAAATCTTCTAATTTTTCTTTCTTGTTTTTCCCTCTGACACTCAACTAGAAAATAAAGCAGTTTAGAAAATGTTTTCCTATTAATATTGCACCAATACGACTTCCATCATATTTTAGACCATTAAAAAATTGATCCATACGCATTAGCTCAGTAACGGATTTACTCATATAATCATGCAAGGAAACATCCAGACAAAGGAGTCCTTTATTCTACTATAACAGTCCCCGGATGACAGACTCCTTGATAGTAAGCAGCTATCTAGTCTAATGCTAGCAAGCACGCACTCTTCTACAGCTACAAATGTGTATCTGGTTTATCATATAGCAGGAAGGACTTACAATAAGTACTTGTAGGCTTTCAAACAAACATACACAAATTATGACATTTCCCAGCAATCCATTTCATGGAACCCCAAGTGTAAATCATGTCATGTATTCAGATTAGGGTGGTTGCATCTTCCATCCTTTCCCTGCATTCTTCTTTAATATCCCAGGGTTCATTTACACACATATAAATCTATGCAGCTTGCTGCATTTGCAATGACAGAAACCAGCATGGTGCTTTATAAATGTATTCATGCTTATAGACCGCTCTCACCAGAGTGATCCATGGCAGTGCATACTGAAATGATACTGCATGGAGAAGTTTTGGGTGCAAAAACCTTTTTTTCATATTTAAAGTGTATGTAAAAGCAAAACTTTTTTCATAGCTTTGGGTAGAGTGGTGAAGAGTTAGATTCTTTGTCAAGTATTTATTGCAGTCACCTTTAAAAAAAAGAAAGGTGTTTATTGTTGCCTGTCCTAGCTGGGGAAACTTACTCTCTCCATTTGTCTGGCAAACATGGTCACCAAGACAAGGTTTGGGGAAATCCAAAATTTCAGGGTTGTCACCAGAACAGGAATAGACGGAAAATCATCCAATGGGGACAAATGTTTCCCTGACAAGTAGGAATGTCCCGATACCGATAATAGTATTGGTGCCGATAAATTTTCACGAGTACTTGTGAAAATGCCCCGATACTAAAAGGCTGATACCGGCCCTTTAAATGTTTAAACATGTTTGGCTGCCTGAGGTCCCACGCTTGCTAGGGAACTCGCTGTAGCTGTCTGACGGTGCCGGTCAGCCCCACATCTCTAATACCTCCTTCCCAGCACCCACAGAGACAGGCACAGCCCTTGACAGCCCCACACCACCTGTACAGCCCTGGGGACTGGCACCCACCCGCTGAGCCATAGAGAGACCTGGCGAGACTCGCACGCAGCCCTGTATGATTTCTTTATAATCACAGATTGATGGGAACTGTAGTCCTCTATTACTAGTTGCCATTATTCATTGCTGAATAATCATGGATTGCTGAGATTTGCAGTCCTCTATAGCCAGTTGACATTCTCCATTGCTGTAAAATTTATGGATTGATGGGATCTGTAGTCCTCGATTGCTGGTTGCCATTCTGCATTGCTGATTGCTGAAAAGGGCTTGAAAAATAACTTGTCCTCTCGTCAGTGCCGGACAAGTGACAGCAAGCGCTGGTTTAAATAGTAACCAGGGCGCGCTGTGCAAGGGTTAATATATTTTTTGTCTTGTAGTTCTTTAAAGCACCTCTTTATTGCAGTAAAAATGCTCTTCCAGCCCTTGCACTGCAGCGCCTTGTGCTATCAGAGCTTAGTAACAGCCACAACCCAAAGCATCATCAATAATATTGCAACGCACCTCCCGCACCAGGACACAGGGTAGTGCTGCTGATATGCTCAGTCTAAATGTGAACACATAAACTTAGTGAAAATCACCTCAACAGGTGAACATGAGAGACTTGTCTTTGCCTCCTGCAGCTGAGAATCTTTTCGTTACATGCGATTTTATCTCTACGATCTCGTAAGTGTTTTGTGTGTCGTGGAAAAATAAAAAATGTTTTACTGCACTTAGGCGCTCTCCCCTTTCTCCACACCTTTTTCCTTTGAGACATCATAGGGGAAACCGCAGTTGACACGGCGTGGTGTGATCTGACTGAACAGGAAGGGGGAAGTTGTTCACGGCTAGCCCATCGATGTGGTACTGAAGAGGCGGCCGATCACTAGGAAAATAACAGATCGCTGTTCTGATTATCATCGTTGCTCAGTATGAACTTAGGCTGAACAGTTTTTTTTGGACATATCGATGCCTTTTAAGAAAGGAAAGTAAATCCATTTTTCTCTCTCTTCCTTAGACTTTTTGTTGCGGTTATTTTGGACTTGTATATTGGAGCAGAGGGATAATGTTATTGTGTCACCTCAGCTAACCACTTTCTGATGCACTTGTTTATTGTTATACCACTTATATGTTCTACACTAGTATAAGATTTGTAGTATTCTTGCAGTAATTGGAGTGGAAGCACGGATTTGTTTTATTGTATCCACATCCGCACACCTATTGGGGTTAGGACACAGACGGCAAGATTTATATACGATTCCACATGTGTTTAGTTTTATAATTTAGGGTTTGTTGCACAGAGACTTTAACCATTTGACTTCACTCATGTTCACCTGTTGAGGTGATTTTCACTAAGTTTATGTGTTCAAATTTAGACTGAGCGCAACATATTAGCAGCACTACACACGATTACTCAATCACAGATTGTTGCAGCTAGTCTATTGTTTAGATCACTATTATACTCTGAGCGTAGCAATTTGCCATTCATTCAGAACACAGGGTAGGTGTGATTGCATGGTACAGTGCGTTCATCCCCAAGGAGTGTGCGATGAACGCACTGTACTAGTGTGAACAGGCCCAAAAGCTGGTCATACACCGCTGTATTTTTTTTGTTTAACCTGCGGGCTGAACGGAAAAAAAAAAGAGCCGATCCCGCCATCAATGCTATGAGCACTTCACATGCATAGAAACATGAAAATACTTGCGTAATTTAGGGCTGCAACAACTAATCGATGATAAGAATCAATGTCAATGATTATCATCATCGATTACTTGAGTCTGCGATTAGTTCATTCGGAGGTTTCATGGGCGGGGATTGGAGAGGACACAAATTCCTGCAGCCGGTGCCCAGCAGTGAGGAGAGCTCCACCTACCTGCTGTGCTTCCCCGTTCTCCTCGCTGGGAGCCGCTGCCGTTATCAGCAAAGGCAGCGGGGATCGGAGGGGACACAGATCACTGCAGCTGGCGCCTGGCACGGAGGAGAGACTGCCAGTCAACCACTGTGCCTTTGCATTCCCCGGCCGGAATAAGAATAACATTTTTCAAGCCCTGTATATATCTATAGATATAGATATATATATATATATAGTAAATAACGAACTGGGACAATCTGAATTCTTTAAAAAGCAAGGTAAATAAATATAGTGAGACTAAATATTACAGATTTCAAATACACCACTTAATCTTTGCACTGATCAACTCCCCACATAATTATACAGCACTCAAAGGAAAAGAAAATATCTCCCTCAAAAGAACAGGTATATCAGAGCAAGAAATAGATTTTAAATACATATATCTTATACCAAAATATATCTTTTTAATACATTCTACATAAATAATCATACCCCTAACCATGTACACACTCCACCCATTAAATACACTCACCCCCCAATACAATACATACTAATCACTATTACCACCCATGATTACTCATTATTAAAAACACAATTCTAAATAATGTTTAGTCTCCCCCTAGAAAACGGCAACTTATAATTTATGTCCTTATTGGTGCACCACAATTCTCAGAAAATCATTATCTCACACTCATCATAAATGGAGGCCTCCTTTAATGGCGGATTAATTGCAATCTTTTAGTCAGAGCATTGTATCCATGGAATCCACAAGAGCAGATCTGTCCCACCACCTGTCAGCAGATGTATAAGAGTTCAGCATATACTGTATATACCTGCACCCTCAGTATTCAGAGCCCTTGTCCCAAGCAAAAAAACAAAACAAACGGTTATTATAAAATTTATCAAAACATCACACCATATGTCAAAATCCAGAATACATATGTGTAATCATAGATTGCAAGTATAATATTTGCCAAAACATCACACCATCTTCCAGTGGATGTACCAGAGTTCAGCGTATGTATGCATAATCAGCATCCAGAACCTTAAACAGGAAATAGTCCATTCTCACCGAACCTCATAACTTGGATTCCAAAAAATGCTGATATACCTCTTAATTCATCATCCTTGTATCCATAGCTCTCAACTGCACAATATCAGATGTGTTTATATCACTACAGGGACACATATACAGTTATTTTGTGTACATGCTCTGCTACAATAAATGCCCGTGGTAATTATCTTGTCTGTAAAACGCAACAATCAAGATAAAAAGCACCCCGTAAGCGAAGACCTGCCACAAATATTAAAGTCCTTTCATTGCTGGTACGCAGGAAAGACTTGCATAGTAACAGGGGATGCCATATACCATGTGTACTCCCTAACACACAAGTACAATTGGTATATAGCGTCCCCTGAATTGTCCACAATTCAATGTTCTCATCTGTATTCAAATCATTTTCTAACAAACATTCATCTGATGTCTAGAGGTAGTTACAAGGTGACAATAATATTTCACTTACATCCTGATTGTATTCCAGAAAAACATGGAAATTTAAATCTTTTCTAAGAATGGGATGAGCTGCCACACGACAGAGGAAGACTTCATGCATTGCTACCGTCTTCTTGAAAATAGCCAGGTATTCTCTGAAAGTAATAACATAATTTAATTAGCAGAATTTGTAAAGTAGAAGCACAAACACCAAATTTTAAGGGTTTTGGCCTTTTCGCTTTCACACAGAAGATAGAATTGTTTGGCCTGTTAATGGGTTTCTGAGATCTGACGGCATGGTGTAAAAGGGCCTAGCAGCTTTGTTGTTCCAGCATAGATTATAATGGAAAAGACATCTCTCTACAGGTCTGCAAGCAGACGGCATTTCAAGTAGGGCCTATGGAGAAATGCTATGCATGCACAGTCCTGAAAAGCTCCCCTGAGCTTAGGAAAGGACTGGAGTGCCCTCCGTTATAGGTTTGAGGTACGTAGAAGGATGTATACAGTATGGGGAGGGTGAGGGAGGGCTTGTAAGCTTGGGTTGTTGCAAAGTATAGTTATCCTTTAAAGGGTAAGTTCACTTTCTCAAAATTGTGAAAAATAACTTACCTCAGCACCCCATAACCTCCTCCAGTCCCCGCTGCACCTACACATCTGAAGTCCCCGGCAGCCAGTGTAGTAGTCCTTACACCATACATCCCAGCCCTGCACTATGGAATGCTTATAACTCTCACAAATGGCGAACGCTCACTGGTCAGCATGGTCACATGACCACGCTGATCAAGAGAAGCATTTCTGGAGTCGGGGACCAGGTCCTGGAAGTAAAAAGCACTTCCAGTTGGTTAGTGGCAGCATATGACCGTGCTGATCAATGAGTAGCCGCCATTTCCAAGTGTTATGAGCACTTCATAGTGCAGGCTGGGAAGTCAATTGCATGGACAGCTACACTGGCTGGCAGGGACTTCAAACTTGTAGGTGCAATGGGGGCCAGGGAGGTGGCAGAGTGCTGCATCAAGTTAACATTTTTCACAATTTGTGAGAAAGTGAACTTACCCTTTAAAGAAACTTCTCACATCACAGTGTCAAGTAAAACAGTTCGCCAGCTAACGTAATAATAATAAATGTACACTTACGCTTCAAGCTCCTGTTTCATTTTGGTAAACTCCTCCTTGGTCATCGAACCCTCCCCTTCTCCCAGCTTTTGCAGTTTCTCTCTGGAAGCATCAAAATCTGGTCTGGGTGGTGCAGGGGGGATCTGCATTTATAGGAAAGCAATTCAGTTTGAAAAAAGCATGTTATTTTTTCCTTTGTTATAGCACACCAAGGATATGTTGTAGGGGGTTAGGTGCAACAAGTTCAGCTCCGGAAATCAACGTAACCAACACAAAATGCTTCAATAACTACACCTCTTTACACTGTATATGTGTATATGCAGATATTTGAAGTCTAGCCTATAAAGGCCAGCAGATTACCTTAGTCCATCCATACGATCCTAAACCTTCTATAACTGGAAAAAGAAACAATGGCATTGTGTACCTTCCATAACCACCTTGATAAGAGGTCTTCTCCAAGACTACAAGAATATTTAAAAGTAAATCTAAAACCAAAACCATTTTTTCCCCATTTTGCACAGCTTAGGGGAGGGTTAAAACTAGGGATGCACAGAAACTAAAAAATGTGTCAGGCCAAAACCGAAAAGGACGTTTTTTTTTAAACAAACTTTTCTTTAAAAATTCATTTTTTTTTAATTTTTTTTTCACAAGTAAATTTTTTATTTATTGTGATAAGAAATATCAAACAGTTATGGTATGAACAGGTACATACAGTTAAAGTATCTAACAAGAAGTATAATTTGCTTGGTATGAGGGAATGCGGGAGAAGGGGGAGGTCTGGGGGGGGGCTATCTCCCTTGAGTCCGAGCAAAGAGAGTTCTGGACACAGTGCCTTTACTATCAGCTGTTACACCCATTCTTAGGAGGCAGGGGTGGGGTACCCCGTATCAGTATGCCCAAACGTTGCTAAAAGGTTGTATTGTCGTCCCTAACCATGCGTGAGGTCTACGCAACAGGGGGCCTTGGCTGTAAACTGAGCTGAGGATCTAGTTTCAAGTCCAATGCTGTGTACTGATGTCCGAGTATATGGTGTGGAGGAGATCCAATCTGAAGGTAAACTCAACCAGATTACTCGGGATTCATGGGAGATTGGGCTGGAAGGGGGAATCATGGAGGGATTGGGAAAGAAGCGGAAGAGACATGGAGGACAAGGCTGTATTGGAGAGGAGGAAGGGAAAGAGGAGGAAGGGAAAAAGACAAGAGACAGATCTTCCCACATCCGTTCCCGCCCGCTTCCCATCCATCTTGGGGCACCAGAAAATGTGCATTAGGGGCAGGTGAAGGTTTAGGAGGCAGTGAGAGTGAGCGGGGAGAGGGGTTAGATCCTCTGGGTTGAGAGAATCAGGTTTTTACTGCGTGAGAGTAGCATAAGAACTCGTGCCCTTGAACAGATGCCAGGCTGTCCAAGTTTTCAGGTCATTTTTATTTTTTACTTTACGGTCGGGGCCTCTGGGGAAATATCGGGGGGCTAAAACAGACCCCTGATATTTCCCATTTAAAATAAAAAGGGTTGAGGACACAGAGTCCTAAAACTCTTTTTCTGCAGCCCCTGTTATGAATGAACAGGAATCCACTATACCGAGTGCTTCTGTCCATTCATAAACTGTGGAAATAGTATGAGTTACAATGTCCACAATCTTGGATGAACAGGAAGTGATTTAAAGCAATTCCTGTTCATACATAACTGGGGACACAGTAAGTATACTATGTCCTTAGTTATTTACAAACACTCAACGGTCAGGAATGATCGCTGAGCGCTTGTACTCCGCTCTCCATCCTGACTTCTCCGTCTGTCACAGGAGGCTGAGTGGGGTGGGAGGAGCGGTTGGGCCTCCTTTCACAGCTGACTTCACCGCATGACTCCTCCTCACACTGCCCACTCTCCATCCTGATTTCTCTGCACTTCACAGGAGGAGAGAAGCTTTCAGGAGGCCGAGTGGGGGGGTGCCAGCTCAGGATACCGAGCGGAGTGGGAGAGAGCACCAACCCGCTTGGCCTCCTGTCGCAGCTGACAGCTCTCTTCCCATACCGCTCGACATTCTGAGCGGTCTCCTCCCCGCACCACCCCACTCAGCCTCCCGAAAGCTTCCTTTCCTCCCCACTGGACCCCAACTCTGTGTCCCTTCGGATTCCTGCTGCCTCTGCCGACACAGGTGGGGGGAGAGCAGCCGGCATCGGAGAGGACACAGACCGGTGTCCAGCAGGGAGAAGAGAAGCTAGACATGCACTGAATTTTCGGCCACATTTTTTTGCTCATTATGGTACTTTAGGCAATTTTCCCAAAGTACCATTTTCAGCCGAAATGTTTAGGTGGCCGAAATTTTGGTGCATCCCTAGTTGAAACCATAGTGAGGTTTTTTGCAAGGACATTTACTTTAACTTACTGTCCAGTAGGCTCAACAAGAAGTGAGAGGATATCTTTCGAAAGTGAGAGAAATGCCCTCTTATATGAACAAGTGTTTCCCATTGGAACACAAGTGTTCCCTCTATTTCAGTTCTAGCGGCAACTCAAAATATTTGATTTGCTCATCATGTTCATTTTCAATGACTTTGGTGATCAGAACAATTAGTGAACAGGGAAACAGAGAGCTATAGAATTCTGGCCGAGGTTCCAACTCCTTACCATTATCGAAATCCCAAAAAGTTTTGCCTAGCGATATCTGTGCTCAGTAAAATTTTAAAGGCACCTTATGTAGGAATTTACAGGTTCTGTGTTGTGCACTCACTGTACATTGTCCGACCAATGCACACTTTTGCTTCGCTAATCATAAATTGAAAAATCATCTGCCATTTGTGTTCACAGGCACACCATTCAAAGTGAAGGCGAATACATTTAGCTCTGTGGATTGGAGCAAACATGTGGCAGGTGCATTTTGAAGTCAGCTACATCGTATATCGCCTGCAATCATTTTTATTGTGCCCCCTTATGAGCAAAAGGACAATGTGTCTATACCAGAACCGTAAGCCCAATGCTGTGTATTCCTATTTATGGCCACGCCTCATTAACTATACCATACAACAGGAATCAGAATACTGCAAATTATTATAGAGTAATAATTTTAGTAAAGAGATCCTACTAACCACTATCAAAATATAAAATATAAACTATTGTTTTTATATTTTGTTCCTCAATTAAAAAAATAGAAAAGAGCCTTCATGTAGTAAGCTGGAGGACAGAAGTACCTGTGTTGCACAAAGCACCTGATTACATCCTTCAAGAGACTAACTTAACGCAGAGAAAAGTGGCAGGTTCTCTTTTAAGACTAAACCCCTAAGCGGGTCACCAAATCTTGTGCAATCTCCACGTCAGAGCCTACACAGGGTTAATTTTTTCTGCTCACATGACAGGGTTCAAGTCTGGTGACTGGCCGCTTAGGTCACGTGCTCCCCCATACACAGAAGGGCCAGCTATTTACCAAGGGCTTAGACAGAGCAACAAAGTGGCTGTTTTACAGCTCCTTATCGCCTGTCGCTCATGCAGGATCCTTTTTTGCGCGGATGTCGCATGATTTTGCTCTTTTTGCACGCAGCCCATAGTGAAGGTCGCGCAATCGTCACCGGGAAAGTCGCGCTATATCAATCGCGCAGAAATCCGCTCAAGGTAAGTGTCGCTTAGTGTGAATGGGGCCTAAAAGTGAGAGGCGTTTGTTATTGAATATATATGGCCAAGAAGCAGTTGTATTTCTACATAATTTCCCCTCAGTTATCTGCCAGGCTGATACACATTCTCTGCCTGGATGACGAATGGCTACAATCAGCTTTTCCAAATTAAACTGATATTTGTGCCTTGCTACACTGTAATTACACAGGGTGTTATTAGCTACATTTTTCAGCACAGATGGCCCTGGCAGCTTACTTAATGCTCATGGGAAGCGGTGAAAATATAATTATATTAATTAGAAATATGTAATCCCCAAGAAAGGTATATAAAAATAAAAAAATATTCATGGCACAACTAAAACACAAAGCATGCTATGGTAGCTCATGAAGCACAATAACTGAGGGTAGTATATGGGCAGATGTCATTATCACACTTACAATATATCCTGCATACTCCTCATTTTCCACAAAGGAATCGTGAAGCCAAATGAACTCTTCATGCTGCCTCACCACAGAGAACTCGTTTTGCTTGAAGTTTGGTAATGAACTCTAGGGGGAAAAAATATGACAACATAATGATCATAGAAATTGCATGCCTTATGTTTTATATGTGCCAGTGAAACATTATTAGCACTGACATACTATACACAGATTCTTGTTTACAAAGCTCATAAGCCTTGAGGGCCTGACAAGATCTGTACAAACAAACATCAGTAGAAGCAAAGGCAAGCACAAGACTCTCCTTCCAGTGTTCTTTCCTGAGCCACCATTGACAGATATCAACTGGTACTAAAACCTAGCCCAACATCCATTTGAACATTTTTACCACCCACTATTAACATAGGAAAGTGTAAACCTTCCCTCAGTGCGGGTGTGAATCATCATGACGACTTCTATGGACAGATGGTGAATACATGCATCACTCCAATCCAGCAAACCAAAACCACATCATTTTACAGTGTGCATATGTAAATGGATGGTATTTTAAATAACCTAAAACCTTCAAAACTAGAAAAAGAAAAATGGCAGTGCCAATCTTCCTTGACAACATCGGAAGCATAATGCCCAACCTTTAACCTGAGGACCACATGTGGCCCTTTGGCACTGGCTATGCAGATCCCAGTAGTGGGAGCATCGATATGTAAACAGACTGTAAAGACAGTGACCTCCAACAGTCTCATGTAACATGCCCCCAGTCCCTCGCTGTCTCCTGCAGCAGGTTTAAGTCTTTAACAACATCTGCTGCATGTGTGGCATCTATGACCGTCTTCTATAGCATTACAAAAACTGATTACATGCAGCCCTTTTCTGATTTCATGGTTCCCCTATACCTCATAAGTTGACAACCACTGATGTGGAAAAGGAAAATGCCAAAAGAAAAAAAAAAAGTATATGGTTTAAATTTTTTTTGTTGTGGAAGGTGGGTTGGCAAGATAAAAGTTGGGCTTTAAAGCAGGCATAATCTAAATACTACTTATATGTAAAATAATTTGTAATTTTTTTTAATATATAAATTTCAGTGTCTGTGAAAGTAAAACTTGTTTTCTATTTTCCATTCTATAGGAAAACCTTCACTCAGCTTCGAAATTCTTTAAAGAATAACTAGGGCTACCCCCACACTGCAAGAGTTAAGTGCTCGTTTTGGTGTAGAGTATAAAATGTAATCATGTTTAATGCAAGCCCATTGACTTGTATTATATATAAGGACGCCGAGTCCACATTGCACAGTTGGGGTGGAGGGGGAGAGAGCCGAGTGGCCACTGCCACAGGACGTCCTGTTGAGTATCTTATTTTAGACCCTAGACCAAAACAAGCATTTAACCCTTGCAATATGGAGGTAGCCCCACTGCAAGGGCCATTTTAAATGACCCCTGCAGTAGTTACATTGGCCCTTAGGGTCAATATTGAACATTTTGGGGAACACTGCTGCAAAAGGTACAACTACTTATATTTAAATATCTAGACTAATAACTAACAAAAGTGTGTTATAAACCAAAAACAGCTGGGAAAAGAAAGGGGCGTCAGAGAGGAATGGTTAACAAAAGAAGTAAACCATACATTTTACAGATAACTTGCAAGGTGAAAAGAACATTGAAGTGGAGTTCCCTCCAGGTATACCTGCTCTCAACTAATGCATTCTTAGATACACTGCCTGGCCAAAAAAAAAAAAAAAGTCACACACACACTAATATATATTGTTGGACCGTCTTTAGCTTTTATTATGGGACACAATTGCAGTGGCATTGTTTCAATAAGCTTATGCAATGTCACAACATTTATTTCCGTCCACAGTTGTATTCATTTTTCAAAAAGCTCTTGTAGTGATAGTGGGAGATTCAGAACACTGCGTAAAGTCTTCTCCAGCACATCCCAAAGATACTCCATGGGGTTAAGGTCTGGAATCTGCGGAGGCCAATCGATGTGTGAAAATGATGTCTCATGGTCCCTGAACCCCTCTCGCACAAGTTGAGCCCGATGAATCCTGACCTTGTCATCTTGGAATGTGCCCGTGCCATCAGGGAAGAACAAATCCATTGAAGGAAAACCCTAGTCATTCGGTATATTCAGAGAGGCAGCTGACCTCATTTTTGAGGATAACACATTGCTGAACCTAGACCTGACCAAGTAAAGCAACCCAAGTTCACAACACTAAATCCACGTGGTATCTTTGTATTTGGCCAGGCAGTGTATATGTCCCATAGCTGAAACAAAAAATTGTCACGTTAAGGCACCTCAAAACTATGTGATGTCACTTGTTCTTGTATATGTAGGTAACAAAAACCTCTGTTTTTAAACTGAGAAGTTGAAATGTTTCAATTTTGTTGTGCTACTTGGTAAAAAATGTGCTATAATCTGAGTGGCTGCCAAGACAGAGAGGTGCCATAGATTAAAAAACTACTCCTGAGTGTGAGAGAACAAATAAAATACCTCTTCATTAAAAGGAGAACTATGAGGTGAGTGCTTTTCACTCACCTCATAGTTCTAGCCGACCTGTGACAATGAGACTGTCACAGGTCGGTTCAGTAGATCGGGAAGTGAGCGAACACAAACTAGCGTTCCCTCACCTCTCGATCCTGTCACGGCTCTCTGCCGTGACAGGGGAGGGGCTGGATTACCCCCCCTCCCCGATCCGCCAGCGCTGACTGGCGGATCGGACGGGGGAGGGTACAGCTGGCTCTGCCTCTAGATAGGCAGAGCCAGCTGTCACTCACGCATACAATGGGGAAAAGCCTTAACCCCATAGTTCTCCTTTAAAGGAGAACTATGGGGTCAGTGTTTTTCCCCATAGTTCTCCTTAGGGTAACGGGAGGACACAAACTAGCGTCCTTCCGTCACCCTAAGCTCAGTATACCGCGAGCTACAGCTCGCGGTATACTGAGACGCTGCAGCGGATCCCGACCTCGACGTCGAGATCCGCCCAGCTGCGTGAGTGACAGCTGGTTCTGCCTATCTAGAGGCAGAGCCAGCTGTACCCGCCCCCTCCCCCGTCCATTCCGCCAGTCAGCGCTGGCAGATCGGAGCGGGGAGAGGGGAATCCAGCCCCTCCCCCTGTCACGGCAGAGAGCCGTGACAGGATCGAGAGGTGAGCGAACCCGGTATGTGTTCGCTCACCTCCCGATCTACTGAGCCGACCTGTGACAGTCTCATTATCACAGGTCGGCTAGAACTATGAGGTGAGTGGAAATCACTAATCTCATAGTTCTCCTTTAATACTACACAATGGACCATCGTTCACAAGGCAATTGGTCATGGTCAGAACTAGTTATTTTCCAAATCTAGCTCTTTTCACATAAATTAACTAAAACATTTTGAAAGCTTTCAGTATATTTTTTGTTAGCTACTCATACTCAGAAAACTTTCCTAAAGGAAACCTTGTGTGCTTTGCACATCTGGCTAACAATTTCTGACGTACTTTCCAATGTTCTCCACCAGCAGATTCCTTCATTGATTCTTCAGAAGCAGAAAAGGTTCAGAATGCAGTAGACGCACTGGTGAGAATGAGAATTAAGTGGCCCTCCACACATTCTCATATTAAAGCAGGCCAGCACACACACTAACACTTGCTGCACAGTGCTCTTATCAGGAAAGCCAAACTGTAGACATTTCCAATACAGGGGTGTATTTCTTTGGTCGGCAGATACATATGAACCCCAACTTGCCAAAACAGGAAAGATCAGGCAATACTCACCTACTACACATGGGAAACCGTTATCTACCTAGCATGTCCACGTATAGCCTTCTAGTCAACAGCCTACAAAGCACTCTGAGAATTGGAACTCCTCAGGTGCTTGAGGGCCATATATGTCCACAACCAAAATCTTGAAGTCATCAAGCGTCATCAATTCGCTGTATAGTACTAATCATACACCAACGTCTTTCGGGTATACTGAATCCAACAAATGGATAAAAGGGCCTATAACTTTCTGTTAATTAAAAGAAAAAAGGGAACTGCTTATTGATCGCAAAGGGTTTTAATGTTGCGTTAACAAGCCAGTCTGACATTTCAAAATGCTAATTTTTCCAGGAGACTTCCAGGAGCAAACCCATACATGCGCTAATTAAGAAGGTGATGCTTGAATTGACCCATCACATACACATCTGCATTGGGCAGAAAAAAAGAAGACTTACCTTTGTATGTACAGTAAATTTAACTTTGTCTCGCTCACTCAGGGCATCAGATATATCAACCTGCAGAGTTGCATCAGGCTGCAGTTCTACGTTAATTGCTCGTGGCTAAAAAAAAAAATACAGGAGACATACTTTTAGTAAAACATCAACCCTGTTACAGGATAAAGTTTTCAGGCGGGTGTTTTATTATACAGCATTAAAAAAAAAAAAATTACTTCCTAAGGCGAGGAGAGGGTTATTGGGACACATAGAAAATCATTCAGTTTACTGTAGTGTCATAAAAGCAGTCTATTAGGTCAACTGTCTAGTGTCTGCTGTAAGCCATGTGTTCATGTTTTAGTCTGCAGGGTTTATATTCGTGCCATGTTCTGCTTGATATATGGCAAGCAGAATGGGGTCATTGCTGCCTCTAGAGGTCACTGAATGTTAGTGTCTGATTGGTTGGTTTGGCAGAGCCAGCCAATCAGCAGCAAAGTCTGTACGAAATTACTGGATAATGAGAATGATGTCTTGTGATCCCTCCCCTTCCCACTTCCTCCCTCCACGGCTACTGTTGTACTAAGCCTGTATAGGTTTTTAGGAGGGTATTCATTTTAAATTGCAGGTTAGCACAGCACTGTACTTTACCATTAGTAATCTCCACCAAATGGGATTTGCATCTAAACTATGCACCATATAAATGTAATGTCACGTAGGGCTGTGCTATGCTGGGTAGCCTGCCTTAGCACAGTCCCAAAGCAAAGACAAGGCAATTTGGCTTGTTTACAATCAGAGCTGCAGAGGTTTGCCCTTTACCATTAATAATCTCCACCAAATGGGATTTGCATCTAAACTATGCACCATATAAATGTAATGTCACTTAGGGCTGTGCTATGCTGGGCAGCCTGACTTAGCACAGTCCCAAAGCAAAGACAAGGTAATTTGGCTAGTTTACAATCAGAGCTGCATAGGTGTGCCCTGAAAAATGATGTCATGACGTTCTTTTCATTGCAGCATGGTAACAAAAAAGTTTTAGTGCAATGGGCTGTTTCCAGCACACTGGAACTACAGCCTGGCGCACAACAGCTGCTGTGTTCTAACCCAGCAGCTGGTGTGGATGGGCCCCAAAGAAATACAGATGACAACTGTACATACTTCTATTGTCTTAATGCTTCTAGCAACCAACTACTACTGAATTCATTTAAAAAATAGCCAACTCATCTCCACAGCAGGTTACATATCAGGGTATGAACCAGTAAAGAACTTGGCTCCTATGATAAAACAAAATCCCATTCTCTTTTGCATACATTGTACTACATTGTGAAGTGGCGTGGCCACGGACAAAGCACGCCACATAACATGCATGACCCGTGTGACTTGAGAATAACCAGATTGTATGGGAACGTTTCTAAAAATTGAGGTCATTTTACCAGCTCCTAACTTCAAAACCATTTTCTACCTCTCTATTAGACACACATTTTTCTTTAATCCACAAGAGTTATTCAGAGAACATCTGAAAAATTACATAATCAGACACATTTCTAGAATGAGGAAATATATGTTTAACAGCAGGGATGTCTATAAATTCTACAATCCAATTCTGACTGATATAGCAGCCGTATATACAGTTGTCAGTTATATACAGTTAACCCATCTCCCCCACAGCAGCCAGATATACAGTTTAGGGCTGCAACAACTAATCGACATAAATCGATTGAAAAAGTTGTCAACTTTTTCAATCATCGATTAATCGGCTTCTGGTTAGTTGGCCCTGTTCACGGCTCCAGACACGTTGTGCGCCGCACCTCCTCCTCACCTCACGCCCGCCGCTGCCAGACCCGCCCGCATACACACGCCGCACCTCCTCGATCGGCACAGGGACGCGGGGAGAAGAAGGAGGAGCAGGTGTGGGGGGATGACAATCACCGATAGACCAGCCCTATCTCAGAAGCAAGTTGCTGGAAGACTGCTCAGGTAAGCCTGCACTCCCCCCCACATGGTGCTCTATAATGTATTGCTGGGATTTGTGCTCCTCTACAGCCTGTGCCATTCTGCATTCATTGCTGTATAATTTTACACTTTTCATTTCACTATGTTGCACACCACACTTTTTTTTTTTCTTATTTACTTCCACCGCTCCAAGCTTGCTCCTGTGATGGACTACAATCCCAATACAAACTAGTAGTCCCATCACTGGAGCCGTTTTTTAAAATGTATTTTATTTTTTATCCGATTAATCGAACTCAATAATCGGCTAACTAATCGATTCTGAAATTAATCGTTAGCTGCAGCTCTAATACAGTTGCGTTATATATACACAGCACAGATGTTTTACCCCACAGCAGCCATATTTACAGTTGTCCTCCCCCCCCCTCCCCACACTACACTCCCACAGCAGCCACGTATACATTCACCCCCTCCTCATCACAGCGGCCATATCAACAGTTGTCTTACCTCCTTTCCCAAACTACCCCCTCAGCAGCCGTATACATAGTTCTCTTACCCCCCTTCCCCAACTACCCCAGCAGCTGTATACACAGTTTTCTTACCCACCATCCCCAACTACACCTACCTCAGGAGCCATATACAGTTCTCTTACCCACTTTCCCTAACTGCCATCACCTCAGCAGTGACATACACAGTTCTCTTACCCCCCTTCCCCAACTACCTCTACCTCAGCAGCCGTATACACAGTTCTCTTACCCCCCTTCCCCAACTACTTCTACCTCAGCAGCTGTATACACAGTTCTCTTATCACCCTTCCCTAACTACCTCTACCTCAGCAGCCGTATACACAGTTCTCTTACCACCCTTCCCTAACTACCTCACCTCAGCAGCCGTATACACAGTTCTCTTACCCTCCTTCCCCACGTGGGAGTCATTCCAGAACACTCTACAAGTAAGTAGTGACATTGCATGGGATTTTTGGTGACCTTTCTGGGGCAGGTGGTTTTGAATTTGAATTAAGTGATAGATTGTTTTAAATAGTTTTATGAAACCAAATTAGAAAGATTATCCAGCGTGACTTATATCAGATAGGTGATTGGAACAATTGGTAAAATGAACAGTGAAATATGCTTTTCTAATGTTCTCCCCCAGACAAAACACCTTAATGTATTCTGAAAGGTTCACCAATTAACAGAGAAGAGAATGAAATGTGCCCACTGAGAGCATTCCAAACATTCTAAGAGCTAGGAAAAGTCTGAGCTGAGAAATCCCTTACCTGAGAAATCATGGGGGCCATTCATAGAACCGGAGCAAATGTGGAGCTACTGACCATAATAAACCATCAGCCTTTACATGACAATAAAACGATTCACATTGCTTGCTTCAGATCTAAAACTATTTCAATGTTACTTTTTTTTGGCTTAACATTGTCCATAAAAGGAACATAACATACCATAATGAATGAGGGAATAGACTTTATACCAATTCATCAAAATCTGACGGATGGTTAGTCATTGTTTAAAGAAAGGTTAAGATTAAACTCCATGCAAACAGCTAAATATACAGGTGAAATACCGTACATATAAGGGAACGGTCATCCCTCTGCTCTGTCCTCCCATCAGCATATTTGCATGCAATAAGTCCAATTGACTCCTGGCCTTGACCCTCCCGGTCTGGCTTCTACTGTGGACAGGATTGCAAGAGGTTGATACCCACTGATTGGTCAGGAAGCTAGGCTGTCCCGTAGTGTCGCTAGGCAGTATGAACCCGGCTTCCTAGCCAATCACAAAGCCAGGAGGTGGGTCATGAAGCGCTGCCCGGCTCCCTGATTGGCTAGGAAGACAGGCTGCCTCGCAGTGTCGCTAAGCCGCATGAAGCCTTCTTCACGATTGGCCGGGAAGCCGGCTCCATGCTCCCTCGCGGCATTTCCCTCTGACTGGAAGTTCTGGCATCAGGGAAATATCGGAGCATTTGGGCGAGTAAGAGTACTCGGCATCTGTGCATCCCTAGTTTAAACATAAAGCAGCAGCATCCATTGTAAATTATTTCATCAGCATTTGAAAATTGCTTAAAAACCTTCTGACTTTAATATCACCTTAAATACAGAGAGAGAAACACAGCACAGAAGTGGTATAGAGGCTGCCACTGCAGAGTATTGTAGCCAGAAAGTCAGGCAGCTAGCATTTCACAAGGAAGTTTCCAATACATACATGTGAACGGTTACCTGCCAAAATAACTGCAACTCTTCAGCCTGTAACTCACATACAAAGCCCCCAACAAAAAGGTAAACATTGCATCTCAATTTACTTTTACCTCAACTGGTTTCATTAATATAAAAGGCAAATATTTGGTAAGTCACCAAACACCTGGCTAAAAGCTGAAATCAGGCTTGCAGAGGAAGTAACTGAAGGAGTGGTGAAGTCCTTACTGAGAGAAGCAAGTAAATGTGGGTGTCACCATAATGATAATGTTGACTGATCGTTCACACAGCAATCAGTAAAATGTCATCATGAAGTCTGTAACTACAATGTCTGAAATGTGTTATCCCCCTCTAAATGCTATCCAATTATAGCACATCAGGGCGGATAATTCACAAATGTAAAAGGACTTTGCAGATCTTCTGGCAGATGAAACCGCTCCTATACAGTATATGTTACAGCTGTGTTGGACACAGACACCATTACTTGAGAACCTGAAGCTTCCGGTGTAACCTCACAAGACGCCAACCATAACCACTACATGCTGGTTCCTTCTCCCAGCCTCCTATGTAACTGCTGGTACTGTTCCAGGGATTGGAGGAAGGAGCTTGCACACTGTAAGGGACATAGCCATCAGACATATTTTTTTGAAGCATGGATGTGGAAGATGTTGAGACATGACTCAATCTCTTTAGTAAGATACTAACTTTTTTTCGATTGCGTTTTTCAGCAATTTGCCTGCAATCTTTAAAAACAACCTGTCACAAATGGCCATTTGTAACAGTCTGAATCTCTACTCTAGAACTGTAACAATGCAGGCTTACCTCTCAGGGATGGTGTTTATTCTTTTATTTAGCTGTATTTTCTCCCTCTCGCAGTAGAAGGGTCGGCTCAATGGTAGGCTGTAAGGCCTCCTTAGACACTTTTGCCTTTTAAGCTGAAAACTAATGCGTATAAAGCGGTCAAATAGTCAGGATTGCT